TTTTCATTAATAGAACCTCCTCATTCTTTTTTTTTTTTTTTGAGGTTTTTGGTATAGGGCACGTGCGTTCGTCAGACAGACAGAGAGAGACAGAGAGACAGAAAGCGAGAAATCACCAGCCAGGGAGGATGTCCACACCACAATCCCTTCTCCTCCATTCTCCTCTAGGGATCTTGGGCACGCACGCACACGCACCCGGCGTGAGTTTTAAGCCGCCGGGTCCAGGATGCGAACCGTGGTCGACTACATGGGAGTCCAGTGACATAGCCAGTAGGCTAACTGCTGGTCCTCTCATTCTTTTTTTTAAAGAATTATTTTAATTTTATTTATTATTATTGTAGTTTAATTTGATCAGAGAGAGACACAGACACATACGGGGAGAGAGAGAGAGAAAGAGAGGGAAAGTGAGAAAGAAAGTCACCAGGTCTGAGACTCAAACCGCATGTGGGCCAAGTGGGAGTCCAGCACCTTAACCATCACACCATCTGTTAGCCTCATCCTCATTCTTTTGGAATTCAAAATGTCACCATCTTTTCTGTTCCCCTGGCATATTACGCTTAAATTATATCATTTGGTGTGGCTTTGGTATAAGAAATAGAAAAATGGTGACAGTGCAAACACAAGGATCTATGACTAGTAGTAATAAAAATGTAGACTTGGTTCTAAAAAGCTAAACTCACTTGTGACATATGTGTTTTTTAAAGTAGAATATGGGAGAGAGGAGGACAGCAGGTGGCATGCTGGTTAAAAGGCACTGATCTCCTACAAGGCTGACCATGGTTTGTGTTTGGGACCTGGTAGCTTGCTTTCTCACTTGCCCTCTCTCTCTCTCACTCCCTCTCTCTCTGTCTCTCTCTCTCTCTCTCTGGTGAGTGCATGTGCCCTATAGCAAATTAAAAAACAAATAATAAAAAGTTAAAAAAATTCTTTAAAAAAAAACAAACTAGAATACAGAGAAATCTCATTGGTTCATATTGACTAATGACTGCCTTGCAATCATTTATCTATGCACATGTACTTACTGAGCACTCACGAGCAAGCCCTCCTGGCAAATTCTGGAGCACACTACTACGCACAAGGGTCATTAATAAGTTGCAGGTCTGGGGCCAGCAGGTGGTGTGGTGGTTAAGGGTGTTGGACTCCCACATGGCCTACCACTTTATGAGTCCCGGAGCTTGTGACTTGCTATCTCACTTTCTGTGTGTGTCTCTCTCTCACTCTCTCTCACTCTGTCCCTCTCTGGTCAGGTTAAAATAAATAAATGAAGTTAAATAAAATAATTTTTTTTAAAAAAAGAAGTTGCAGGTCTGAAAATATCAAAAACAATTCCTGTGACATATTCCTGCCTTAACCTATGACTGAAGAATCATGAACATGGGCCAGATAGGTGACATGATTAAGTTAAGGTGCCTGGATCCCACATGGCTGACTGCACTGTTTGAGTTCCAGACCTGGCGGCTTGAAAAACAGGCCAGGCAAAAGTACACGCATGCCTAAAATCCCGAGAGGAGAATGGAGAAGAAATATAGTGGGTGTCTTCTTGCTCTCTCTTCAGGAAGCATGTGCTCCTTATAACATATTAAAGTTATATATATATAAATAAAATCATGCTCTAGAAAATCTTGAGTGATGTATGAAAAATGTTATCTTGTTGGAAAGTTTAGATGCCTTAATAACTAATTGATATCTTTCTTCACCATTTGTCTCAAACTCACTCTTAGTTTCAGATAAAGTGCAAAAGATAATTTAAACACTAAAATGCAATAAGTGCTCTTTTTCAATATATAGGTTACCCACCCCCCAACATGGGTGTGTCAGCAACAGTGAGTAAAAACACTGATTCAGTTTCTCAGAGTATCTTTCCTCATTCATATACAGTGTAGGTTCTGTAGAGCATAGAAGAGCAGTAAGCAAAGTAATGAGAATGATTCTACTCTTTGTAGACTAGATCAAAGTAGAGTCTAGACCACTCCATGCTGGACTTTTCCTGTGGGGAATAAGGCAGTAGAACTTTTCCCCAGACTAGAAGTCTGTAAGATATTTTCTTCAGAAACAAATTAGTTTTTCTTTCACTCTGCTTTCTCATCTACTGATGTTACCAACATCATTATTCACATTGCTGCGATGAACAGTCACTGAGCACTTCCTCTATTCTCGACCCAGAACGATAGCACTAGCTATGATGGGTAAGTACAAAAGACAAAAAGAAACCATCCCTCCAGTGTCTCTCAACATAATTAAGATTATAAAATATCTGCATATAAAAAAATTAAGACAATAACTGTTACAATAAATTTAAAAAGTAAGATTCACCAGAAGGGTGTTAGATCCTCCTCTCAGATCTGCTCATGCTCTCTAAACAGGAAATAACTATTTGATGAGACTAGGAAAGATGTATGAAAATTGTCCCACTAAGGACTTGCCTTACAGTTGGTTGCTCTAAAATAAGAATAGATACAACTTATTGAGAGTCTTCTACATGTTCTGTATTATCATAAGTACTTTACATGCATTTACTTGTTTAACTTCAAAATAACTCTATAATGTAAATACTTTTATAAAGGTTTTTGCCATAGGGCACATGCAGTTACTAGAAAGAGATAAACAGAGACGGTGAGAGAGAAAGTGAAAAATCAACCCCCGAGGATGGCTGTGCTGCAATTCCTTCTCTTCCAGGCTCCTCCCAGGATTTTGAGCATGCATACAAAGGCACCCAGTGTGATTTTCAAGCCACCAGGTCCAGGACTCAAACTGCGGTAGACCATGTGGGAGTCCAGCACCTTAATCACCACTCCACTTGCTCGTCCTTGTAATGTAAATACTTTAAGTATGAGAAAATTGAGTCACAGAAATGTTAAGTAATTTGCCCAAAATTATGTGGTTTGATAGTGATAAGTGAGGATATGAATCTACATATGCTATCTCTACACCCATTTTTCTAAGTGCGTTGCTGTATTTTGACTACACTTACTTATTTGCATAAGCTTTACTAGAAGAAAGAAAAGACCCTCTTTGGTATTGCTCTGGTCTGAATATTTGTGCCCAGAATTCATATGCTGAAACTCAATCTTTAATGGAATAATGTTAGGAGGCAGGTCTTTTAGATGATTAGGGCATGACTTCTCCACCCCTGTGAATGGATTGTTACAAAGAAGCCAAATAGAGCTTGTTTGCTCCTGTCACCATGTGAGAATAAAGTGGGAGGTGTCATCTATGAAGAAAAGAGCGAGTTCTCACTAAATGATGATCTTGGACTTTCCAAACTTCAGGACTGTGTGCAGAGCAAGAAATTTCTGTTGTTTATCAATTACTCAGTCTGTGGCAATGTGTTACAGGAGTCAAAACAGACCAAGACAGGAATCTTCCCTTTGTAGTTCATCATGTACATTACAAATGGATTGTGCACCATACAAAGTGAATCTTTGATTATGATTCCCTTTGAGGCGGCAGAGGGTAGAAGAATACACATAGGGCTATGGAATCAGGAAGGCTCAGAATTAAATCCTGGCTTATCTTGAATGACCTGCACATAAAACATAAACATTTTCAGGCCCATTTAAAAGAAAAAGATAATATCTATGTCCCGGCATTATTTTAAGAATAAATAAAGAATTCATGTCAATGCATTTAGAAACTGTAAAACATAATACAAATGTTAGTTTTTATTCCTCTCTGGTTTTCAAGGCTCTCTACATTGGCCTTGACTTCAGCTTAACTCTTTATTATTTCTCTTAGACATTTTGGCTAAATATTCCCTAAGTTTTTCCATTTCGATGACTTTTTTATGCCCTTGATTTCTTCAAAGCGGAAGAGAAATAGTGACATGAAATGTGCACATGTTCACATATCCTTCTCACATTTCTCAGATACCTATAATCTGATCATCTCATCCACTCTATAGCTTGAAAGCTGAGCAGAGCCTTATACCATCACCCAGGGAGTTAATAGAGGTCTCAAAAACAATTGACTTACACTGTTTATGGGTAAATATCAGACTTAGAATCAAGGATGAATAATGAAGAAAACAAAGCCAATCAGTCAACCAACCAAGAAATAAATAAAATCAAAAACCTTTAGAGACACTGAAAAGAATATTCCACATAAAAATAACTAAGAAGATAGGCTTGTATAATTAAATTTTTTGATACATAATTTAAACTCAAACTGTATTCTCAATAAAATAATTAAAACAAAGATTCTCTGAAATAAAGGAAGAAAGATAATTACAAGATACCACACTGAAATGGAAAGGAAATTAGTTGAATTAAACAACTGATATAATGAAACAAACAGTTTTGTGGTGATATCAACCATGGCTACCCAGAAACAACTACAGCAGCACGAAGTCTGGGACAAGTGTGAGATGCGTCCAAGTCCTTTCGAAGGGCAGTTTTGCATGTGGATCAATAAACTTTAAATTGTGACTGTCCTTTTACCTGTTGATTCCACTTTTGATGTTTTATCTGATAAAATATTCTTCAGGAATGTAAAAAATCATTTTTCAATAAGGATGTTCATTTTTTCATTTAAAAGGCTAGGCTTTTTTCTTCTTTTTGCACAAAACGGATTCATACTTCATACTCTGCAGTCTACCTTTAATTTGTTTGTATTTTTAAAATTAGAAAATTATACATATATGTAGCAAATATTTGAGTTTATATGCATTAGGAATGAGCACAGAATATGGAAAAATCAACACCAAATATTGATCATAGGGGTTCCTGGAATGTGTAGAAGGGAGAGTTTGATGGAAGAAAAAAGGAAGAGCAGGGAGAAACAAACAAACAAAAAATTTCTTGGCACATTTCTATGTTATCAGGCAGTTTACAAAAAGGATCTATTACTTTTGTAGTTTGAAAGGAAAAAAAAATCAATGAACCATTTTTGAAATCTTACTTGAAAGAACAAAACTTTGGAAACTCTGTAGTTGTTAAAGTGAGGATTCAACACAGGAACACCTGCCTTATACTGAATTGTAATAAAAGTCATTGCTTGTCCAGATTCAATGCAGGTACTTGATGATGAGCCTTCCATGTGGTGAAAGAGACCCTGCTCCTTATATCAGGTGGTGTTGTCATCTCTTTGAGTCTTAGAAGACTTGGCTCACTGTTGGCAGAGAAAAGGAAACAACAGATCAGAGAGGAGTGAAGGGGAGGAGTCCATTAAAGACCAGTTCTGTAAGTGGCATATATAATTTCTGCCTTGTTCTGTTTAAGAGGACATAATAATCTGGACTCACCAAAATGCAAAGCAATGCTAGGAAATGAAGTTCAAGCTGAGCAACCCTTTTTTTTTTTTTTTTCCCCTCCAGAGAGGTTTTTGCTCTAGGGCACGAGCACTCACCAGAAAGACAGAGAGAGACATAGAGACAGAAAGCAAGAAATCACCCCCCCGGGGGAATGGTCACGCCGCAATCCCTTCTCCATTCTCCTCTTAGGATCTTGGGCACGCACGCACATGTGCCTGGCGTAAGTTTAAACCACAGCATCTGGGACCCAAACCACAGTCGACTACGTGAGAGTCCAGTGATATAGCCATTACGCCAACTGCTTATGGTCCCATTACGGTTCCTCAGCATCCCTTTCTTACCAACAACTGAACACTATGGAAAGAGAGTGCAGCCTTTGTAGACAGTTTCTCTGTCCCCCTGTTTAAGTGTCTAAAAAACACACTATTGGCTAAAAAATTTGTAATTAATGTGAATATTAATTATATTAATATTGGGACCAGTAGTCGGCATAAACCAAAAAAGAAAGTAGCAAAACCTCTAAAAAAATTGCATTAATATTATTATGGAGTAATATTAGTACTATAAATTCATTTATGTTTCATTTCTATTTTATTTTATTTTTTATTTTTATTTGCCATAGGGCTTGCGCACTCACCACAGAGAGACAGAAAGAGAAGGAAAGTGAAAAATCACCAACCAGGGGGATGGCCATACTCCAATCACTTCTCCTCTATTTTTCTCCATTATATGCACCCTACATACACAGACTCAAGGTAATTTTATACAATATTTTTGTATTGCAGCATTTTGACTTGTCACATGAGGTCAGGTATTGAATTTCTCACTTGTAGCGTTACATTTAGTCTTGAAAACTTTCTGATTTTGGAGTATTTTGAATTACAGACAAGAAAAATGTAGTAACATGAGATGGTAACTATTAGGTTGTCTGGAAAGTCATGACATAGTTTTCTATGTTTGTCAATAAAAAAGTGTCACAACTTTCCTGACAACCCAATATATGATACCAACAAATTTGTAGGACATTATAAAATTGTATTACATTCCTATTCAGGATAAATAAAATAAAAAGAAAGAAAGTAGATATTTATATATTTCTTTTCTAAGATTTTATATGGAAACACAGATATATGTATATATATTTCCACTATATTCATTTCTGACTTTCCTTTAAGGAACCCTTTCTAAAAGTAGAACTAGTGAGTGGAAATATATTTTTAAAGTATTGTGCTATTTTGTATTTCTCTTATTGTAAACATAATTCTTTGCATTGCAAATGTTTGAAAAATACATTAAGCACAAAGAAGAAGAGAAATCACCCATACTTCCACCCAGAAGATATACAGCAAAATGTTAATGGTTATTAACTCTGAATATAGGTATTATGAGTAATTTTTATTTTCTTCTATGTGCTTTTAACTATTTTCTAAACTTTATTTTGTATACTTATATCATTTTTATTATCAAGAAAATCAAATAGTACGCAAAAAATTCCATCTGCGCTTTCTGAAATTTGTTGGAAGTTACCTTCTCTCAGAAATGTTACCTGAACAACCCACTTGTAATTAAGTGTATTTTTTCTCTAAATAAAACGCTGCAAGAACCTGATACTAGGTCAATTCCACCTCAAAATGGTGCTCCACGGGTACCTGTTCTGCACGTGAATTCAGTTTGTGGACAACAGAACACCCGAGGACCCGACATGAACCAAAGCACCCAGTGTTTCTTCCTAACGACTGCTCTGCCATTTGTTGTTCCACTTTAAGAAAATTATTTATCCTCTTTATGCCTCAGTTTCTTTATCTATAAAATGAAGATTGCAATAGTGCCAAACCTTCAGATTCAATTAGAACTAAATGGATTAATATAAATTACTATCCTTTATCCAAAATGCTTGGAATGAGAAGTACTTAGGGTTTTTTCTTTTTCTATACAAATGAAATATCTTGGAGATAAGATCAAAACCTAAACACAAAATTCTTTATTCTTTGTAATGCACTCTACATAGTAGACTCAAGGTAATGTTTATTCTTTTTTTTCTTGGGGGAGGGGAGGTTTTTGCTATAGGGTACGTGCACTTGCCAGAAAGACAGAGGGAGACAGAGAGACAGAAATTGAGAAAAATCATCCCCCGGGGGATGACCACACCCAGGTGTGAGTTTAAGCCACCGGGTCCAGGACTTGAACCTCGGTCAGCTACATGGGAGTCCAGCAACATAGCCATTATGTCAACTGCTGGCCCTGACTCAAGGTAATGCTATACAATATCTTTGTACTGCAGAATTTTTTACTTGGCACATGAGGTCAGGTGTGGAATTTTCCACTGCTGCCATTCCATTTGTCCTTAAAGCTTTCAAATTTTGTAGCGTATGGAATTGCAGATTAAGAATGCTCAACCTACACATGAAAAGCTTCTAGGAAAGTAGAGGCAGATTGGGAACAAATAATTGGCATTAATTATTATCATTATACTGTTAAATATTTGTTCAAATCTTATTTGGTAGTTTTTTTTCATATACTTTTTTACTCTTACTTGATCACACATTCTTTGAAGTTGAACCCTGACTCATGACTATTTATACGTTTTATAGTACTTTGTACAAAATTTTGCAAAGAGTAAGCCTTCAATAAAATATTAATTGAATTCATCAGTAAGTGCATGAATGGGATAGAGAAGTGAAAAGCCTCTAGCCCAGGTACTACAAAAAGAACTTCGGTGTAGATATATAGGAATCTGCCCAAGGAAATAATGCAGATAATGGACTTTATTAGCAAAAAGAAAAAAAAAATCAAAGAAGGAAGGTTTGCAAGAAGATGAGTAGGGCAGCAGGTATACTGCTTTAAGTTGTTTTGAAAGGCCAGCGGCATTCAGAATCCCCAGAATGACAGTGATGGAGTACTCTCCCCTGATATAAACACAGTAGAGGTACTAATTTAGACCACAGTTAACTTCATCTTTCTTACAAAAGGTATTTGTTTCTTCCATGAGCAAGAGAGACAGACACAAAAAGATGGCACCCTCAACAGTCTTGATACCTGGATCCACTCCCAGATTCAGCTAGCCATGGATCACTGGCACTCACATGCTTGGAATACCAGAGAGGTCTCCAGATGCGTGCCCAAAACCTCCTCATGTGGATGAACCCTTCAGAGCTCTGTGTCTTACTGCTATGCTACCTTTCAGCTGTTGTCTTTTTTTTTCTTTTTTTTTTTTTTTTTAACAAAAATAACATCTGTGTATTCTCTGAGATGCAGAGAAGTTAGGCAAATTTTCCACACCCTCACAACTATTGTAGAAAGTTGCTAAATAGGATTCAGCCCAAGTTTAATTCTGCTTACTGTGACTTTTTTTGATACATATCAGGTAATAGCAACTTTACCCCAAGTTAGGTTATGAGTATACTGCTCTACTAGTACTGAATCTGTTTTTGGTTTACTTATTATTCCGTTTTACAATTTGGTGTTTATTTTACTTAATTATGCTTTGCAAAATGGATTAGGTACTTAAAATCTGCTATAAATAAGTTTCTTTCTTGTATATAAACAACACTGCTTTGTTATTTCTCAGGGATTTCCCTGGGTCTTGTCCAAAAACCCAAACAAAGTTTCTAAGGCGATGCCACATTTCTCACTGAGCTACCTTACAACTTAGACTTTTGCAGGCAGAGAGGAAGGGCATGGTTCAGAGTGCTTGAAAAGTCCCAACCCACAGAGGGAGGGAGGAGGCACACTGCCAAACCCTTATTTGCTTAGCTTTAACAAATAGTACCCTAACCAATCTACACTTGAATCCTTCAGCTTGTCACTGAATAATTCATGGTTATTTAATTTTGGCCCTATCAAAAGATTTACAATGCATAATCTTTTAAGTACAGAGATTGTATGTATGTCACAGGGCTTACTTAAGGCTTCACTGTTCTGTTTAGTACATTCAACTTTGCCAATGAAAAGATTCACAAAAATTGATGTATTCTTATCCAACTTGAGATTAGGCAATACAAGTAAATAAAGAATGACATCCGATATCACCAAATGTCTCCCTTACTATGCTTGGTATTTGGAACCTAGAAATGTCCAAACAAATTATGTGAAATCACTTTCAGGAGAAAAGAGGGGGAAAGGAGAAAGGAAAAAACCTTTCTTTCCAGCTCTAGACTCTTGCTACCAAACTTTGAGCTACTGCAGTGTTTGTTCTAGCCATCAGTATAACAATATCACTGTCATTTTTAGATCTATGTTTATATGAATTGACAGTATTTTGAGATATATGAGCAAAGCGGACCTATTAGGATTTAGACAACCCTCAAACTGACTATATCCAAATAAAGGTATTACAGAATGAGCAGTTCCTAAACTTCCTATTACAATATACAGATTATTAAAAGCGGGGGCAGAGCCAACAGCATTTGTGTTCTTGTTCAGTCTTGCTGAGGGGAACTGCTCCATCCTGAATGCACTGATGTTAGTATAAATGCTGGTTTCAGAATAAAATACAAAATTGTATGCACATATGAGCAAGAATTATAGCTTCTGGTTGAATAAGTTACAAAGCGATGTAAGTTGAATATATACAACTAAGGTACCTGGAGTACCTTCTCTACCAAAAGGCTAAAAGGTCCTTATGCTGTAGTAGCAAGCAGAACCTTATCCATTTTTTTTCTATTTTTGAGAGAGAGAATTTTGCTATAGGGCACATGTGCTCACTAAAGAGACAGAGAGACAGAAAGTGAGAAATCACCTGCCAGTGTGGATAGCCATGCCGCCATCCCTCCTCCTCCATTCTCCTCTCGGGATTTTGGGCACGCACACACACGCACCGGGCATGAGTTTTAAGCTGCCAGGTTTGGTACTCGAACCACAGTTGACTTCGTGGGAGTTTATCAACATAACCATTACACCAGTTGCTAGTCCCTATCAATTTTTG